ATGATATCATGTGTTGGATGTAATATTGTATTGAAGAGGGAAGATCTGGAGAAACACAATGAAGAATCAATGAAGGAACATCTTGATATAGCAATGAAGAAGATTGATGCTCTACAACATTCACACAATCAAAAGGTCTTTATGCTACCTGATTACACAAAGAAGAAAGAAGAAGGTGAGAATTGGGACAGCCCATGTTTCTACACATCACCAGGAGGATACAAGATGTTGTTGCATGTCCGTCCTAATGGAGATGGGTGTTATAAAGGTACACACGTCTCTTGCTTTATTTACCTTAAGAAAGGAAAATATGATGATAGATTGGAGTGGCCATTTCAAGGAGAAGTGACTATTGAACTATTGAATCAACTGGAGGATAAGAATCATTGGGAGGATACTCTATTGTTTGATGAATCAACTGAAGATGGTTGTAAGCAAAGAGATAGTACACTTGGATGGGGTACACCAAACTTTGTATCATATTCTGCATTAAAGTATGATGCTACAAAGAATTTTCAGTATCTCAAAGATGATAGTCTGTACTTCAGAGTTGGTGTAAAGGTTACATCAAAGACAAAGCCATGGCTAGTGACTTGTTAATAGTTAATCATGTGACTACTAATGAACCATTAAGTTATATTAATTTTGTTTTGTTGTGTTTACTCTTTACTTTAAACAGAAATATAGAAATCCATATTTTGGGTTATTTCATGAAACGAAAATGATTCATTTTCCTGTGTCTACATCATTACATGTAATGATAATTTGTTAACTTTTGGTTGCTCTGAGTTCCATGCTGTTTCACAATAAATTATATTAACTATGCACAATTTATACTAGCAATAAAAAATTAATTTAACAAAATAGATAAACCTGCCAGCCTGCAAGATTTTAACATTTATAATATTGGCCATGTATGCATATGCATCAAGTATGATTATTATTATTATTGTTATTTGCTAGGTATGAAGCTGAAGGGAGAGCTCGTACAGTTATTAGGGCACAGAAGCTTTGGTTTGCGATCCTTGAGTCACAGATTGAAACAGGAACCCCATACATGCTTTATAAAGATGCTTGTAACAGGAAGAGTAATCAGAAGGTAGAGAGAATGACTATGTTTAATCTTATTTATGCACATGTATTTTTATTTAGAATCTTGGCACCATCCAGTGCAGTAACTTGTGTACCGAGATAGTTGAATATACAAGTCCTGATGAGGTGGGTGTAGTGAATGGGTGTGGTTAGTTATTAAGTGTTGCACTCCTTTTTAGGTTGCTGTCTGCAATCTAGCCTCTATTGCTCTGCCTCGTTTTGTGTCAGAGGGTCAATTTGACTTCCAGCGTCTCTTTGAGGTTACAAAAGTCATCACTCGCAACCTCAACAGGATCATTGACATCAACTATTACCCAGTACCTGAGGCTCGGACATCAAACCTCCGCCATCGTCCCATTGGTATTGGGGTACAAGGTCTCGCTGACACCTTTATCCTAATGAGGTATTCGTTTGATTGTGAAGAGGCTCAGGAGCTCAATCGGATGATATTCGAGACAATTTATTATGCAGCTTTGACTGCGTCTTGTGAGCTGGCGGGAGAGGAAGGAGTGTATGAGACTTATCATGGCTCACCTGTCAGTCAGGGAGTAAGTCCTAATGCATTGTGTATGATTGTGTATATTGTGTATATGAAGTACCAATGTATTGTGTATGTAAGTACCAATGCATGTGTATGTTAGTGTATGATTATTATTATTATTTTGTTTAATTTGTAGATACTGCAGTATGACATGTGGGATGTGACGCCTTCTGATCTCTGGGACTGGAAGGCACTCAAGGAACAAATAGCAAAGTAAGACACATGTGCATATTAGATGACCATGCAGGATGTAAAATAATCTCTTATTTGCTTAAATTGGCTAATTTATTCCTGCTACAGACATTTGTGATACATGTATTTAAAATTGAGTAGGACTCACTGTGTTATACGTAGCTTTTGTCTCTGGATTGTCAAGTTGCCCTGTATAGGAAATTTGATAAAAATCAAAAGGAGAGGATTCTCCATTTTATAATTTTTTTCTGATGCGTATCCATATTCTTATGTTGCGTAGCAAGTTTTAGCTGATTCCGATCAAATTTAGATTTTTTATGAATTTTTGAAGTTACTCAATAATTGAGTCAAATACCCTGTACTATAGTACAGGGCCTTTGACCCAATATCGTCAAAAATAGATAGGAGAGAATTGTTCATTTTTATAATTTTTTCTGATTTGTATCCATATTCTCTTATGTTGTGTAGCAAGTTTTAGCTGATTCTGATCAAATTTGGATTTTTTATAAATTTTTGAAGTTACTCAAAAATTGAGTCAAATACCCTGTACTATAGTACAGGGCCTTTGACCCGATTTCGTCAAAAATGGATAGGAGAGAATTGTCCATTTTTATAATTTTTTCTGGTGCGTATACATGTTCTTATGTTGTGTTGAAGTTTTGAGCTGATTCCAATCAAATTTAGATTTTTTATGAATTTTTGAAGCTACTTAAAAATTGAGTCAAATACCCTGTACTATAGTACAGGGCCTTTGACCCAATTTCGTCAAAAATAGATAGGAGAGAATTGTCCATTTTTATAATATTTTCTGATACGTATACATGTACATGTTCTTATGTTGTGTTGAAGTTTTGAGCTGATTCCAATCAATGTTTGATTTTTTATGAATTTTTAAAGTTGCTCTAAATCCCATGTACATGTACTACTGTATTGTAGTGCTTGTCAGCTCATAAAGCTGCTTTGTGGGAAACCCTGTCCTTGACTTGATATGAAATACAAATATACAGCATCAGAAAATGAAATAAAATTTTGGAATTTTTAGCCTATTACAAATCATTGTATTGTAATATGTACATACATATAATGTGAGGTTTTAGAATTATGTCTCATTCTCTTGTAGATATGGTATACGTAACAGTCTCCTTGTAGCTCCTATGCCAACAGCCTCCACAGCACAGATACTTGGCAACAATGAGTCCATTGAGCCGTACACTAGCAATATATACTCCAGACGTGTACTCTCTGGAGAGTTTCAGGTTAGAATTATAACTTTAAAATGTACAGCATTATTTTGATTACCTTTGATATTTCATTATTTTGATATTCGCGGCTGCTTATTTTCGCGATTTTTTTCCCGCACTCAGTAATCACCATGACTTTTAATTGAAAAAGCCGCGATACTAATAGCAAAGCACTCTGTTGCAGTGTTCTTAGGTTGTTCTTCTTGCTGTTACTAATCCTTGGTCTCTTTGGAGCTGCTTTCACCAGAGCTACTCTCCTCACTCTGCCTCGCCGTATCTTGGCCGGTTCTTGGGACTCTCCACCTATTTATTGACTTGGGCGTGGTTAATTATCTTCAGCATGTTGACCAGCAAGGATTTCCAGCAAAGAACTCGGAGGTAGAAGTCCATACAAGAAGATAATGGATAGAGAACTGGATGGCTCCAGCTAAAGCTGCTCAAGAATAGATAATTAGCTTCTGAACACTGTAATTGTATAAACACGTGGTCTTATTGTCATAGCAACACTCTATTGGTTTCCATGGTATTTAATTGAACCTTTTTATTAGTTTTTATTATCGTGAAAATAAGCAGCCGCGAATATATCTCGACCTACGGTATTTTGCAGTAAAAGTTTTTGCAAACTGCCTCCAATCTCTATTGCAAAAATTAATTTATGATTTCCTGCAAACGACAATGAAGATTAATTAATAAAATGGCAAAATGAATTTTATAAACATACAAAAATTATAAAAATAAAGTGGTATATACTATATGCACGTAGTATAGCTGTCAATCACTCACACTGATCCACACTCTTGTCTCTCCACAGATTGTCAATTCTCATTTGATGAGGGATCTTAGTGAGAGAGGTTTATGGAATGACGACATGAAGCAAAGACTAATAAAAGACAATGGATCAGTCCAAGTACATTTCAAATTGATACGTACACAGTCATATGCAACCTATCTGGTTCTCTCTCTTTCTCTATAGAATATTCCTGAGATCCCTGATGAACTGAAGGTTCTATACAAGACGGTTTGGGAGATATCTCAGAAGACTCTTATCAACATGGCTGCTGATCGTGGAGCTTACATTGATCAGAGTCAGAGCTTCAATATTCACATGGGGGAGACTAACTTTGGGAAAATGACATCCATGCATTTTTATGGCTGGAAGAAAGTAAGCAACTAAACTGTAAACAGTTTGAAATTTTTGTTACAATTATTTTTATGATACATGCGTTATTATTCACTCTCTCTCTCTCTCTCTCTCTCAGGGTCTCAAAACAGGCATGTATTACTTGAGGACAAGAGCAGCTGCTCAGGCTATTCAATTCACTGTTGATCAGACGGTCATAAAGTCTGCCTCTACTAAAAGTGATGAGATGAAGAAAGAGGAACAAGAAGAAGCAATGATCTGTTCTCTTAAGAACAAGGAGGCTTGTATCTCATGCAGTGCTTGAGGTGGGGGGACACTCTTCATCATAATGCTCTAGACTTTTAAATTATTATACATAACACAAGTACACATAAAAATATTATATTACATGGGAACAATAGCTCTATTTTAAGCCAGCACTATAATTATTATTATTACTAGTTGTAATGAATGATTTTTGATTAAATTTTTCACAATAATAATTACTGTTAAGATCCATTAATGATCATGAAAATCATAGGAAGTAGCTTTTGTATGTAAGGCATGATCCTTTCATAGTGTGCCATTTGAAATACAGTCAAACCTGCCTATTCTGGACACATTGCGACTGTCCTGATGAAAGTGTCCTTATTTCAGAAGTTCATACACATTATAATACTGGGACTGCAACTACCTGTCCTGATTGTAAACGTGTAATAATTATCTACTAGTCCACAATGTCCACAATAGCAGGTTTGACTGTCATTGTTTGAATTTTATATTAATTGATTTGAAGTTTAATTTTTTTTTGCGCATGCGCCGTGCTAATTGCCTCGCTGGTATCCACGGCAATTGCATGGAGGAAGATGCTGTATCTATGGTGCCCAAAACGCTCAGTGGAGAAGAAGGCAAACTGTCATTGCTCTGCTGCTGTGTCTCTCTGGAATTTACTGACGAAAGACGAGTCTTTTTGGTTGCAAAACGATGTTTTCTCACTTTCAACTTGGAGCGTATTCGCCGACTGTTCGACTGATGTATTCAGTTGGAAAATGGGCAGTTAGAAAGGTGAAAGCAGCTATCAAGAAAGGAAAAGATGGTGATGCGACGGAAAAAGTTGTTTTAGCTGCAACTAAAGAGCAGTTACCAGATGATGATGATCTCTCAATGTTCCATAAAGTTACTTTCAGTCCCAGTGTACCATCCTCATTCGTGATGTCTACCGATGCTGACGACGATATGTCCTCCTACAGCGAGAGCGACAGCTCTCTCGAGGAAGCATCTCTAGAACTTAAAGATTTCTTAGATATTTCTCCAGCTATGGAATCTTCGAGTCTTTCCACTATTGTAAGGACCAGGAGTCTAATCGATTTGAGGGAGAAGCCACAGCCGAGTTGCCGTTTGGGGAAATCATTGTCTTTACCTTCGCTAGCAATGAAAGACGCTGAAGAAAAGAATGGTGGTGAAAAGCAATGTCCATGCGAAAGTTTTGCTCAAAAAAGCAGTGAGGATAATGATACGTGTACTGGTCCACCTGCCTCTAGTTTTTACTCTACTCCTACAATTAAGAAAGGAAAGAGCCGCGAAGATTTGCAAGGAGAGAGGCCTAATGAGATAAAGTATCGGTGGACTCTGTCTCTACCCAATGTTAACAAGTATTCTTCTATGTCATCGGCTACTTACGATGAAATGAGCTGTGCTTATTTTTCTTCGGAAGAAGAATACTTTGGGGACTATAGTACTGACTTTGAGATTAAGGAAGCTGTTACAATAGCTCCTTCTTTGACTTCCGTCGTAAAAAAGAAGAACGTGGAAGGAAAGCATCAACCAATGCAGTCATTCTCTCTACCCTCTCTCAATACATGGCAGTCTCGTAACTTCGATGGCAATCTTTCTCTACTTACTTCAATGCGACAGAAGTCTCAATCGTTAAACCTTCATTTTCCAGTCAAACAGAATATATCGTTTCCTGGAGCATCAAGGCCACTGTCTTGGCTTACTAAAAATGAAAGTAAAGCTGCTAGCTCTCCTACTAGGAGTCCTCCTATATGGAAGATTAAAGAGTGGGAAATAGAGTCATGGTTTCCAACATGTACTGCTACAGCTCCCCAAGTATTGCAGAGGAGGTCTTTCTCTGAGCCTTACTTAGGAAAATCAAGCACTATACGATTGAAATTTAGCTACTCACTACCCAAACTGCACTCCTTCTCTAGTGGCTACATGTCACAGAAACGCTCTCCTAATCCCTCAATTTCCTCTCTATTGAAGTATAGCTCAAGGCTTGCAGTTACTGGAGCTCAAATATTTTCTGAAGATGAAGATAAAGCATGCAATTCTACTGCTGAAGAGAAGGCATGCCCTACTGATACAAAATATCAACTTGTTACTGTTGAGCAGAAGGCATGCCCTACTACTTCCAGTGTTCAACCTGTTACTATTAATGAGAAGGCACACTCTACCGTTATAAGTGTTCGACACTTTACTGTTGAAGAGAAGGTATATCCTACTATTGAAACTGCTGAACGTGTTTATATTGAAGAGGAGACTAAAGAGAAGGAATCTTCTACTAATACGAGTGCTCAACCTACTACTAAAGGGAAGAAATCTTCTACTAATACGAGTTCTCAACCTACTACTAAAGGGAAGGAATCTTCTACTAATACGAGTTCTCAACCTACTACTAAAGAGAAGGAATCTTCTACTAATACGAGTTCTCAACCTACTACTAAAGGGAAGGAATCTTCTACTAATACGAGTGCTCAACCTACTACTAAAGAGAAGGATTCTTCTACTAATACGAGTTCTCAACCTACTACTAAAGGGAAGGAATCTTCTACTAATACGAGTGCTCAACCTACTACTAAAAAGAAGGAATCTTCTACTAATAGTAAAGATGCTGATCCGAGCATTCAATCTACTAATAATAAAGAAATAATTCTTCAACCAGAAGTACCCAAATTGGGTGGATTGATAGGACTAAAGAATTCAAAAAACTCTGTAAGTCAAATAAATGCTTTTGTTACATTAGAGATTAACTTGTACTCTTTTAGTGCTATTTAAATGCAGTATTGCAGTGCGTCAGTCATACAACGAAACTGACTGATTACTTTTTGTCTGGTGAAGCTAAAAAGGAACCTGGTTACTCGAGTAAAATAATTGGAGGTAAAATAATTCTTGTAATCATTATTGTCATTTTTAATTCTGTTACCAATAGCTTACAATAGTTTCTTAAAAGATATGTGGATGCCTAAAGAAAATACTAAAGCTGTATTGCCTCGCCGCATTCGCGCAGCTCTAACACCCTCCATTGATATCCTTCAGGAAAATGGGTAAGTATAATGAATTAGTATAGTCATAGCAATTAATGACTTTGTTTCTTATTTACAGTCAAGAAGATGCTCAAGAGTTTCTTCAGTATTTATTGCCTTGTCTTCATGATCACATTAATAAACCTCCTTTGGATTCTCCAAGAACCAAAGCACTCAAGTGGGTCAAATTTAAACCATCAAAATAAAACAAGATTTATATTTGCTTGTTTTTTAGAAGAAATAATGGTTTGATAAGTATTACTCCTCCTGTGCCAATCTCTTCAGAATTTATGAAAAGTTGCTTTTCAGGTATTGTCTTTATTTGTGCCATTACTTAAAATTTATTCCTGTATTTCATTTTAGAACTATTTATGGGTCAGACTAAGAGCAGCCTCACTTGTCACAAGTGCAGTAGAACCTCATCAAGTGTTGAAAGCTTCTGGAATCTTTCCCTACCACTTCCTACAAAAGGCTTATTGTTAGTTAACTTCAATCATTATATTTTAAAACTTGTCATGTGATATTATAGTAGCAAGTATGTTTCATTCACATTGTCGGATTGTTTCCGACTATTTGCAGCTGAGGAGAAACTTATAAAAGAGAACAGACCTGTGAGTTTATACCATTATTAGCTTTAACTGTCACACTACCATTCACTTTACAGAGGTGTAGTAAATGTGGTACCCTGCAGAACTTCAGTAAGAAACTGGAAGTTCAAAAGTTCCCTGAATCCTTCATATTACGTAAGGAGATTACAACATGTACTACTATCGCTTTATGTTTAAAACTTTTCAGATCTCAAGAGGTTTTCATTTCAAGATGGTCACCTTGTCAAACTGACCTCAGCAGTAAAGGTTCCCACTACACTGAGTGTAAAAGAAATAGCAGCAGATAAAGGTATGTACTATGTACACCCACTATCTCATGTATTACCCTCAATTTACTGCATAGAATCTGCTAAATCATTTTATTATGAACTCTATGGTGTTATTCATCATTCTGGTTATTTGGATGGTGGCCATTATCAGGCTGACTGCAAGCACAATGGCAAATGGTATAATTTCAATGATGACATGTAAGTTCAACTATAATACTAATGCTCCTTATGATTTTATTGTATTCTAATCTTGTAGTGTATCTAAAAAGAGTACTGCTGAGATAACAGTCCCTTCATCCTCTCCTTATTTATTATTTTATGAGAAGAAGCAATTTGAAGTGAAGGCCTCATGAGCTTACGCTATAGAAATGTATTATAATAAACTGACTTCATTTCAAATAATTTAAGTACTAGTACTCTGACATGCAAATAATTATACATACACACATGTAGTGAGTATACATGTAATTAATTTAGCTATTATTACTGTTAATTATTATTAGTTTAAAAATAAAAAAAAATAATTATTGTAAAATAGAAAAATCGTGAGAACTTGTGAAAAATCCAAAAATCAAAGATGAGTATTATATTTGAGGTGTTCTTTCTAACAAAAAATTAAAATAAAATTTTAGCAGCTGTTTTCTTAGCAACAGAAAGTAATGGCTGGTGAACTATCTGTAATGCATAATAATGATAGTCAGTAGGAAGCTATAATAATTATTACTGACCTGACGACTGGCTCTCGTTTGTTTAGAGAATTGGGGAGGAGTCCATGGCACATCAAAAAAGCTTAGTTCCTTTGGAAGCACATTAGAACCTAGAAAAAAAATTTAAGCAACTTTAAAAATTCATAAAAAATTCAAACTTGATCGGAATCAGCTCAAAGTTGAAACACAACATAAATGGAGGATTTTTTGTGATTTTTGTCAAATACCCTATACCACTATACAATAGTACAGGATTATTGGCCCAAATTTTAAGCAACTGACAATCTACTGACAAGAAGTTGCATGAGCAATATATCAAAATCATGTAGGACGCTCTGTCCAGCTGTTTCATAAAAATGGCAACAATACTCAGACACAATGTCTGAACATTAACAGAACACGTAATTTTAGGCTCTAGAGCAATATACATAAATCCTGTGCCGGAAACCATGAATTAAATGGTTCAAACTTCCTGCCTAGCACAAGGTTAATTGTTGCTTACTTCTTAGACAGAGATACAAGAGAAAATCTTCAGTTTTAGGGACTTCTTTAGCTACCAGCAGCTCATCAGATATGAATGACACTGACTCAATTTCATTGACATTATTATTACAGCTACTACTACTGTTGTAAAAATAACAAAAATCTAAGTACACACCATGCATATAGTAAGCCTTACATTGCTCTTGTTGGTGTAGTATTGACAGGAAATTTTCTTTGTGCTTGAAACCCACATATACTTTAGAAAGAATAATACAATCACAAAGTATAATAATGAGCATTATGTCAACTCTCACCTTAAAGGTGATCTCTCAACAGGGGGTGTTGTTGATTCAACTTTTAGACTCTTCTTGTCAGCTTCATCTAATGAAACCTGCTTCTCTTTCTCTTCTTCAGTGACTGTCTCTTCGACAGATTTTGACTTCTTACTTTTAGACTCTGGTGTTTTTGGGATAGTCTGTACAGACATGTTTGCAGGTGTGGCCGTCTTCTTACTGCTACTAGGTGACTTTTTAACTGGAGTCTTTCTAATTTTAGTTGGCGTCTTCTTAAGAATCTTTTTGATAGGAGTTTTTCTAATATGTGCACATGCAGTCTTCTTAGCTATCGCTGGTGGTGGGGTCTTTCCATGATGAGGAGAAGTTTTCTTATTTGGTGGAGTAGAAGAGGAAACTGCATCTTTAAGAGAAGAGGTTTTAGGACTCTTCAAAGAGGAGAGTGCTTTTTTAACAGGAGTAGTAGAAGATGGACTCCCTGCAGAAGGAGATGGTGTCTTTTTAAAGAGTTTCTTTTGAACTCTAGGAGATGGTGTCCTCTTGCTCTGAGCTGGTGATGTCTTAATGATTAGTTTGTCATCATTGGAGATGACATACATAAGAGGAGCCTTCTTGAGGATACCCTTTGATGATCTGCCTTTTGATGATGGTGATGATGCATCCTTCTTTTTATTTTTGCGTGTCAAATCCTCCGGCAAAGTTTTAGAAGAAGACAGAGCATGGCATGGCTGAACCTTCTCTTTGGTATAAGCTGTTTTCTTAGCAGGCAAACAATCACCAGATTTTGACTTTCTTTTTCGACTAGTTTTCGTGGTAGGCTCGGTATTTTTCTTCTTTTTGTATACACCTGAAATGAACTCAATATCAGAAGTAGAAGAGCTGGTCTCATCTTCGTCAGACAAAATAACAAAAATATCTTCTTTCATGAGCTCTAGAGGAGGAGGAGGGACATAAGCTGAAGACGGTCGCAAGGAAGGTTTAGAAGAACTATTAGTAGCGACTTCTCCCTTAGTCTTACCATCCTTTTGTTTAGTATAAGGAGATGCACCTTTTTCTTTTACTACACTCTGTTCTTGCTTCTCCCTTAATCCAATTAATGGACTCTTAATCTTGAGTGCAATATTAGGAGATGCACCTTTTTCTTTTACTCCACTTTGTTTTTGTTTTTCCCTTAATCCAGTGATTGGACTTTTAGGAGATGCACCTTTTCCTTTTACTCCACTTTGTTCTTGTTTTTCTCTTAGTCCAGTGATTGGACTCTTAGTCTTGAGTGTTCTTGGTGAACAGCGCTGTTTTTGTGACTTAGTTTTCGAAGTGGATCGTGCTTTTGCTTCGAGTAAAGACTGTCTCAAAGCTCTTTCAATGTCTTTCTGTTCCTGATGTGACACTCGATCATTGTTCTGGTCAAATTTAAAAATAGCACAATAATGAATTTTGATAAAATGTAATAAAATATGATTTTTACAAACTTTCAGAATGCTTATAATAGCACAACCTTTTTATTTTAAAGTTATATTGTACCACAGGGTGCCTTTTTTTGAGGGCTGTAGATTTCGCAAATTCAACTTTCAGGAATTTATACCATTTGCCATCTTGTACCGAGTACCGTATTAATTTGATTTTAGCGGAAGTAATTTTGGCAAATTTTTTTAAAATCGCGAAATCCACAAAATTTACAGCCCTGAAAAAAAGGTGTTCTACAGTACATTAAATTTATTTTAGTAATTTTGTTAAATATTGAAATTATTATAATATCATGATGAATTTTTAAAGTTGCTTAAATAAATGTACAAAATTGTACAGGGTCTTCAAACAGATTTTTCAACTATTTTGAAAATTAATCAAAAAAATTAATTTTGATTAGAATCCACTCAAAAATTCTAGGCAATATAAGAGCATGTACATGCATATGCATCAGAAAAAATTATAACAATGGAGAATTTTTTTCTTAGAAAATTTGGCTTTGACCCAAATTTTAGAGCACCTTAAAAAACTTGTAAAAAATCTCGTTTTGATAATTAGGTCAAAGTTTCTATAGAACATTAGTATGTACATGTATATGCATAAAAAATATAATAAAAATGGAGAATTCTCAACATGTCATTTTTGATGAGATTTGGCCAAAGTCACTGTACTATATATAGTACAGGGACTTTAGAGCAATTTTAAAAAATTGTAAAATATTCAATTTTGACTAAAATCTGCTCAAAATTAATAGGATTTGCAGAAAAAATCAGGAAGTATCAATAACATCATTTGGGGTCTGATATATACTGTTATCATAATTTTTCATGCTCACCCGAATAAATTAATATTATTTTTGTACACTAGGCATATGTATAATTTTAATCTCACTATAGATCTCTTAGATATAGTCCTTTTGCTCATTACAGAACCAAATCACGTCCAATAAATCCTTCAGTCCTAAAACCTTTAATCCTCGCTCGAACTGCCCCTGTATTCTTTATTCCTCACTAGCTTAAATCCGAGGCAGTCATGTCCTTTTGTTGTCCCAGCCCAGTTAATTTAATAATTTAAGTCATTGGGTGTGTCTGTACTCTGTAGACATGCCTTTTCATGAATATAATTAAGGATTATACCGATAGGCTTACTTAACAGCTCATTATTCTTATTTCTAGCAGGCATTTGCACCATATCTCAAAAATTCATGCGTAAAATTTTATGCCACCTGGTTAACACTTAAAAGGTGTGAAAAAGATTATAGTTTAAATAAGGAAGTCGAGCAGATTTTTTGACTGATGACATGTATGCATGATAAAGTACTAGCCCAGACTACAGTTGAGCACCTATTTGCGGCCTTCACAACAAATAATAATTAGCAATGATTAATAATATTATTATAAACAAAGGAAATTTTAATATTTACAATAGTAACCAGAAAAAATTAACAACAAAAATCAATTAAATCAGGCAGTGTTCCTGGAACTGAATGAGTTTCGATAGGCTGGACGGAGGAGAAGCAAACTGGAGGAAAGGATGACGGAGTAATTCACTAGCAGTTGCTCTCTCCTCAATATTATACACAAGAGCCTTTGATAAGAAATTACAAAGATATGGAGATATCTACATGTACATAGGAAGAGAAAAAAAGAAGGGAATTTTAATAACATATATTTTCGTATTAATCCAACTTGATTCTAAATCCAACAACAAAACTACTAAATAGCCCATTTCAGTTGCAGCCATTTGGATAAATTGATCTTTAGAAAAAAATTTTTAAATCATAAAAAATCCAATTTTAATTGGAATCAGCTCAAAATTTATGCACAAAAGAAGTATATGCATCAGAAAATGTAATAAATTCTCTTGTAGCAAAATACCCTTCACCATAGTATAAGGTCTTTGACAAAAAATTTGATTCATTGTCCCTCCTTTCCTACCTGCACACCCAGCATCAGCAATAATTTAATTAAGTTTTAATTAACTAATTTAACTGTTGATGCAGGCATATTCGTACACTATAGATTGATAATGCAATAAAATTTCAGTGAATATTAATGAAGCCACACACCCTTCATAAGTACGCGTGCAAAGGAAGAATGTGGCTTTAAAATCATTAAGAATTTTGATCAGAATCTAACAAAGGTGAAAATCAAACAATTAGCTAGTGGCAATCTGATACTGTTATTACCATGCTCACGCATGCCAAAATATAAAACATTCATCTCACTAATAATTTCTTATTCTTAGACTAAAATTTGACATAAACTAGACTATGAATCAGGCCTGTAGCCAGGGTTACAAAAAGGGGGGTGACAAAATATGAGTTACATGAAATGAGGGTGACAAAGTATGAGTTACATGAAATGGGGTGACAAAGTATGAGTTACATGAAATGGGGGGTGACAAGTTGGACTGGATGCACATAAAATACCAAAATACATGTTTGATTTAAGCAAACAAACAAAGGTACTAACTCAAAAGGGGGGTGACATGTCACCCCAATCACCCCCCCCTGGCTACGGGCCTGTGAATCTGAGTCTACTCCTTTCACTAATCATAGTTGATGAAGTGCAAAAAGCCTTAAATCTCGCCTTAACTAGATTCTAAAATCTTCAACCCTCGCTAAGGCTCACTTGAAATATTCTACTAGGAAAAATATTCTTGTGCTGCTCACTCACTGCCTGCCATCTATGCTGTCATCATCATAGTCTTATACCATAGATTTATGCTGCCATTAGACTCTACGATGCGCGGATGCGGGCGTGTGCGGGAGGCCGCGGAAAAGAAGAGGGGCTTTTCGTTATCCTCAATTCCTCATGTTGCGAAGAAGCAGAATGGAAGACGAAGATGGTAAACTTTTATTATAATAAAACAATACTTTTACATAATATTTTTCCTTTTCAGAGGCACTGGTCTCAAAGTTTTGTATTAAGCTGTCAGGTCTACCAAATAGCACTTCGAGTGAAAACATAAAAGATTGCTTGTGCTATCAATGTGAATGCGATGTGAAGAAAGTCATTTTACAGGGGAATATTGCCTATGTTTTTATAATAGTAAAAGGTAAGATAAATTTAGAAGGCTTAATTGAGCCAATTTAGATGCATACATAATGCTGGTAGGACACTGCCCAGTGTTTTTTCAATGCATTTGTTTTAAAATTTGGCAAAAATTTTTTTTGAGCAGTGTCTTGTAACTGGTGTTACAAGCAGAAGTCATGTAGAGTAAGTCGGGGCTATTTCGTCCGGGAGCTATCCGTCCCTCTATATAAAGGAATGAGAAATTTGTGTGTAGCATGGTGCCAAGGGTCGGAATACTGAGCTCTGCCTAGTTAGTCCTACTTTTTCTATTATAACTTTCTAAGTGTAGCAGATACAGAACTGAGAGCAAGACAGATCAATTCAACAGAGAAATATCTTTTTTACAGTACCAAGCAACAGCTTGATATTTAAGGCCTTTTCACACTGGCCAAAGTAATGCACATTAATTGTGTTCACACTAGACTGGTTTCAAATCAATGCGCATCACTCTGACTTCGATCAATGTAAACCAATGGCAACAAGAACACAAAATGATACATAATTCAGCTGCTAGTATGAACATGATCAATGCAGATTATTTCAGCTGTATCAACAAAGTGCATCAAAGTGCTTTAAAAACTGTGCCAGTGTGAAAAGGCCTTTAAATAGCAAAGGTGAAAGAAGCAGGCAAATAATTAGTCTTTCTTCAGGTCGGAATAGCCCCAAAATACCGGTCACTTTATCTACAGTAACTTTGCTTATATTAATGATGACTAGATAGAATAGACTTAGTACAACACAATGTTGGTTAAAATGAGTAGATAAGAGCAACAAGAAGTGAGTTATGACTTCGTAAATATTTAATTAGATCATAGTGCAAAAACCGGTGGAAATACCCCCGAGTGGCTCTAATAAACAATGTTGAATGCATAGACATGATTTGCTGTGTTCAGAACTTGCATATGGAGGAGTTTCTGAAGCTTACTGTGATAGACATATACATATATATATATATATATGTATGTATGTATGTATGTATGTATGTATGTATAGTTAGGAGATAAGCCTCATTTACCTTAAAATCAGCTAAAAGCTTGTGGCTTGTCCTTTGGACAATATGCTTGGAAATGGATCCAAGTGAAATCAAAATAATAAATCTCAACTTGATAGGAAGAAATTAAAGCCATGCATGCATAACTTTGGATCCAGGCCATTCGTACAAATTAATTTTAATGTGATGAAGTAGATGCACCAAACTGCTTTTGATTCTTAATTCAGCATTATATTTGCATACCAGCATAAAGCAATAAAGTGGTTTAAGTTCTACATGATGTACTTGTTTTGACCCAAAATGACAATGAAACTGTGGTGATGTAGATAAAGTAAACAGTTATGGTATGTAATTTCCTGGAATAGCAAGTGCACCGATGAATCTATTTTAGATTAGTTAAGCAAAATTATTTTTAAGGTTTGGAGTACTACCATGCTATAGATCAAAATCATTGATTTTAAATTTTAATCATCAAAATCCTCATGAGCTGTGTATTAATTTTCAGTTAGATATTGCAGACATTTATTTTAAAACTGAAAATTGAAGTGACAATTAAAAGAAATTGTAACAGTTGTATCAGTCATTGTTCATTTTTATGTCATTTATAATATAGATATTGATGAACTTTTGGAAAAAAATTACACTATTAAGGAAACACTGATAGAAGTCTCACTTTATAATGATCAACTGGAACTTCAGTTGGACACTATAGAAGTAATTGGAGATGATGACACTGAAACACTTAAATTTTATTTTGGTGGAAAGAGATCTGGAGGAAATAGAACCAAATCAGTTGAATCTGTGACAAAAGTTGACACAAATGTTGTGCATGTCAAGTTCAAATCAGTAGATGGTACGTATTTACCATATACACCCCCTAGGCTCTAAAAAGACTACTTTCAATAAATCATTTATGGTAGCCACCCGTAAGAAGCGCTCCACATCAAAGGCTGATCAAAGCCAAAGGTGCCAAAATCATAGTGAAGCATAGCAAGAAAACTAATGCTGCAGCAAGGGTTATCTAATCTATATGATGTAGTCTGGCCTCCATACTTTCCATAAATGCTGCCATGTACCTTATAACGCTCAGGCGGTATTGCTACCCTTAATATTTCTGAAGCCTCCTTGCCATCAGTAATTTGCATTGTGGGTGGATACCGTATGTGAAAAGATTATTTATTATAGATGAATAATCAATATTGCAATCTGAAATAGCCTTAGTGCTTAGGGGGTATATAGAGCTTTACTTTTGTTGAGCAAAACTCTTGCAGATTTTTAAAAATTAATTTTTGTGGAAATAATTTTTGTGGATTTTTCATACCTTTATTTTATGTGATTGACCTTGCAGAACTTTTTGCAATTACAATAATCAGAAAAATTACAAACATTTTGCTTCTCAAAAGTGAAGCACTTTCAACCATACAGCAGGTTATTTTTATGGCGTTTTTTGTGGTTTTTATGATTTTGGGGCTTACCATGAAATTTAAACTCATAAAATCATTGAAGTACCATCCTATTTCAGGCTATGTAAACTGTCAACCACGGAAATTAAAACTACAAATTGCCCCACTAGGAGCAAACCATGAAATATTAAACCCACAAAAATAACCTGCTATATGCTATTTATACACTGGATTTAATTGTTAACATTTTATTATAGATGCTGCTGCTGTTATTGCTCAAGAAAAGCATCTGATTACTGGAGGATCACAAATTCAAGTGCGCTATGCTCGAGTCCCAGATTCAGAAAAATATGAGAGGGACAAAATTCTTATTAAAAACATTCCAAAACAAATGAAACAGAGAACTCTAATTGCTTTAATTGAAGGTTGCCTTGATTTAGAATTTAAGAGCGAATTTACATTAAGCTTACAGGCACCTTTAGCACTTTTGTTATTTTCTTGTCACTATAATGAGAAAGGTAAGCAGTATAATAACCAATAAATTAATTTATATGTTTTCGTGGCAGAACTACAGAAAATGGCAGAAAATCTGGCATCACAGCAAATAAATGGGAATTATTTGAGTGCTGATCTTTGTGACATTAATCACAGCATCATTGTATCTGGTATAAGTGAAGAAAAAATTGTTGGAAATGATTTGGCACTTCAATTGTACTTTGAAACTTCTAGTAGTGGAGGAGGAGAAAATACTGTACAGATGCTCACACCAACAAAATTTAAAATTAATTTTAAGGATCCTTCAGGTATATTGTATATTTTTGCTTAATTTTTATTTAAAATGCTTTCAGTTATTTCAGAAGTCCTCAAAAAGAAGCATGAGAAGCTAGGTCCAAACATTGTGGTAGAAGTGTACAGTGTCCTTGATGAAATTAATGAGAGCACAGAAGAGAAAAGTAAATTCGATGATGGGGGAGAATTTGTCTTGCAGAAAGAGACTCAAAGTGCCAAAGAAAAAAATGAAGAAAGTAATGGATTTGCTAGTGAGCATCATTTACCTTCCCTGCTTGAGCCTCCAGTATGTCAACAGTGGGATCCTCTTATTCTTAAATATGTTCGCAATAGATGTATTACTTCAATTAAAAATATCGAAGAAGAGCTTTGCGTGTCTATTGAGTTTAGTGATTGTGAAACAATCAGTGTATCTCCTACAATGG